GTAAACCGCTTAGAGAGGCCTGAAAGGCCTATGAAGCGGTATATAAGTCTACTGCTATTGCTATATTGCTATTTTAATTTTTCTTTTCTTTTCATGATGACAGTTGTGAGACTCTGCCTCCCCTGACTGCACGTCACTGACTACTATATATTTTAGGTCAAACAATTCCTAAAGAAGAAAATGACACAAAAAATAGTGAAAAGACAGAAAGCTCATAGGGTTTTCTAGTTTATTGGACAGTGTCAAATAGCTTAATTACAAAAGAAAGAGGGAGGAAGGAAGGGAGGAAGGGAGATTCTTGACCATTGATCATTTTTCTTTATTTCTCTCTCTGCTTTTGCCTGCCTTCCATCCTGGCTTTCCAGTTAAGTGTTTTGATATTTACTATGTATAATAAATAAGCACCACAATAAATAAATATTTTTGCTAGCTGAACTGTGTGGCATGTAGATATAGATACTGACAAGGAGCAGGCTGGGTCTGGATGCAGACTAAACTGGAAATCACCCAGAACCGTTTCTTATAACATGTCACAGGTCAGCTGCATGTACTTTTGCCCCTGGATTATGAAGTACAGAAAGTGTATCATCTGGCTGTCATTCTAAAAGACCTGGGGAATGAAGCAGCCGACGGTACTCAAAGGACAACAACGTGTAACGTCATGGTTTTCGTGCAGGTAATTTGAAAAAAGAAGAGCTGCTACAGTATGTTGATACAGAGCGTCGACTACCCCCACACCCCACCCCAGCTGCACCATAAATTATATCCCCCAGATCAAACAGTTGATTAAGTGAGATGGCTGGAGAACACTTGACTTGCATGCTGGATTCTCACCACACTTGGTAGCTCCTGAAACTCTGCAGAACAATTCAGCAGTGGCAGATGCCAAACACCAGATTTTGGGGATGTAAATTGTTGGGGGGGGGAGGAGGAATGCGCATATGTCTATGGATATTTGAATAAAGACAATATTAAGTCTCTTAAATGCTTTACCGTAGCCCTAAAAAAGAGAAACTGAAGAAAGGCAACGTGTTCGGCTCTAGCTGTGTAGCAGCATGACTAAATGTCCCCCTCTAGTTTTTAAAAACGGGAGTGCACCCACTCTGTTTACAGAAAGGTTGGCCCATTTTATGCTAGGAAAAGATGAGCTTTGAACCAGCCTCCTTTTCCTGTGATTTACAATTACTCATCTGCTGTGTGAGTAGTGGGGGCAATATCCAAATGTATCCTGTGTTATATATTTGTTTCTTCCCACTTCTGCTCTTCAATAGGCTACACCAGTGTTTCTCAACCTTGGCGACTTTAAATCCTGTGGACTTTAACTCCCAGAATTCCCCAGCCAGCTTTGCAAATTGAATTCTGGGAGTTAAAGTCCACAGGATTTAAAGTCGCCAAGGTTGAGAAACACAGGGCTACACAGTAATGTATTTTATTGGTTTTAAGTTATCACTCCTCTAAAATGTCCATTTGTTAAGGAGATTTGCAAGGGGAAACAGGGCCTGTTGTCCTCCCTGTTGCTGTAAAGATGCCTATCTGTGGGTCCTCTTTGTCAGAAACCTTGAAAACAAAAATTGCAAAAATTTATTTAAAAATAAATAAAAATTTATTTTTATTCAAGTGGGAGTAGAGCGAGACCAGCTGTATAGAGCGGCCAAATTGGTGCCTTCTAGATGCATTGGACTCACTGCCCATTCTCCCTCAAACCCTAGACCAATAGCTGTGCTGTTAGGAACTGAAATGTAGAACATAGGATCTTCTCTAAAAGCGTTGACTTTTTAGCCTGGCATTTGCATGCAACTTTTAAAATGACATACAGTGTTAAATAGCAGCCATGAAATCTGCTTCAGATCCAGAGCACTGTAATACAAGAGAAAAGCAGGGTAACCATTTTCCTTTTTATTGCTCTGCTAACAAAAATAAGTTCTAAAACTTTTGCAAGGCCTGGGATGGAGCAGGTTTTCACTGAGGGCAGTGGATTGTTTTATGGGTTATGATCTTAATACTGTATATAACTTTGAGGAATGCCTGCTAGCCCACTGAATACCGATAGTCCTCAAGCTAACACCACAGCTGAGTCCAAAATGTCTTTTGCTAAGGAAGACAGTTAAGTGAATGCTGCTCCATTTTACGACTTTTCTTGCCACAGATGTTAAGTTAAGTGCATCTCTGCAGCTTTGCAGAGCCGAGGTGGCCCAGTGGTTAAATGCAGCATTGCAGGCTACTTCAGCTGACTGCAGTTCTGCAGTTCGGCTGTTCAAATCTCACCGGCTCAGGGTTGACTCAGCCTTCCATCCTTCCAAGGTGGGTAAAATGAGGACCCGGATTGTTGTTGGGGGCAATATGCTGACTCTGTAAACCGCTTAGAGAGGGCTGAAAGCCCTATGAAGCGGTATATAAGTCTAACCGCTATTGCTATTGCTAGCTCTTAATGGTAGTTAAGTGAATCGGGCTTCCCCATTGACTTTGCTTGTCAGAAAGCCACAAAAGGTGATCACATGACCCCGGGACACTGGAGCTGTCATAAATATGAGTCAGATCTGAATTTTAATCATATGACCCTGGGGATGCTGCAAACTGTCGTAAATGTGAAAAACAGTCATAAGTCAATTTTCTCATTGCCATCGTAACTTCAAATGGTCACTAAATGGATGGTTGTAAATCAAGGAAGATCTGAATTGTAATCTCATCTGGCAAATCACCAACTGCAGAAAGTCATACTTTTCCAGCTCAAAATCACTTCTCCAAGTATCTGCTTTATGCTGTTTTTTTAGTCTTATTTGGTTTGTGTAGAATTACAATTATACACATGTTGCAATAGCTTAACTCCCTTTGCGGCAACAGGGGAAGCCTGAGGCCTGGAAATCTTTCTTGCTTGAAGGCTTGTTTTTTTTGTAATCATTGCAACAAGGAGGAGAATGTTTGGAAACCTGTAAGCGTATGAACCTTGGTATCTTTTTTATCCCCAGGATGTGAACGATCATCCTCCTAAGTGTGCAGAACCATTTTTGGTGCGTTCCATATATTCCACCCAAGCCAGAAATTTAAAAATCACCGATATTGATTGTAAAGATGAAGAGAGTGGAACCGAACTGGCCTACAACATTGTTCGTGGTATGGAATGGGTCACAAATTGCCGGGACCTGTTTAAATAAATTAAAAGAGATTCGAACCAGGGTCTTCTTCTGGAAAAAGAAGGAATAAGCTGAACTTGAAACAGGGAAAAAGTTGGAGAATGGAAGCTCACCAGTGACGGCTGTTACTGCTGCTACTGATAAAATGATTGAATAATTAAATTGCAGAATAATTAAATTGCAAGTTGGACCCAGTTAGTTCTAGATAGCAATGATAGAGGGAATGTGCTGGAAATAAAGCATATTTTTTTCATGGGGATGCTCTCCCTTAATTGCCCTTAATTGTCCAGTGATGGCGAGCCTTTTAGACAATGAGGGCCGAAACTGCGTGTGCACGCATGCCCAAACTGTAAGGTGCACGCGTGTGAACACGTGTGTGTGTGCAAACATGCATGTGTGCAGACATGCGTGCATGCGCAGCAGACACCCGAAGACCAGCTGGTTGGTGGGAGGCGGGGCATCCCAACACCTGCAGCATGGCAAGAAGTAAGATTTTTGTGTGTGTGTGAGCTTCTGTTTCATTGTTTGTAGGGGAACAGAAGCTCACAAAAGAAACACCATGGAAATGTGACCTGGGGCAATGGTGTGCATGCCAGCAGAGAGGCTTCACTCTGCCACCTCTGGCAGGCATGCCATAGGTTCGCCATCACGGCCCTAGACTTTTTGATGATGATGTGAAATAGGGCTCCTTACCTCTGGGAATTGCAGTTCAAACTAAGTTAAATGGAAGGTGATGGAGCTTCTGTGGGAATTGCTTGTGGCCCAGCAAGTGGGAGAGCACTCAGAACGGAGGAAGATAAAACAAGCAGGTTGGCAGAGATGGGGTCAATTTTTAATGTGTGGCAAAACTACCCCATCTTTTCCTAGTGAACTGAAAAGGGACCAATTTTTAATAGGATTATGCTGCAGAGGATAGTCCGTTTCCTAACTGGAAGGAAACTGGTCTCTTCCCCACATCCTAATTCTTTGGCTCAATCCAGGAGTAACACAGCAGCTGGAACCTTTCTCTATCTCCCCCCCACCCCCATCTTCCAAGTTCTACTAAGGTATCTTCTTTCTCGAGCTTTTCTTCTCATCCATCATATCCCTACATTTAGAACTTATCATCTCAGACAAAATAGCTACATGAAGCCCTGGTTAAAGTTTTTGGGAGAGCACCTTGTTGAAAAATGAAACGAATGCTATTCTGCCATCTTCACAATTCACAGAAGGTTTTTAATGCAACAGTGTAGTGGAAGCCCTGTCAATGGGAGGAGACATTTCATTGGTTTTGTTTATATTTTTTTACAATGTACCCTACTGCAAGTTTAGAAAAATAATGATTCATGAGGCACGTCATTAGTCATTTATCATTTTTATGTGGCGGGTGGTTGTGAGATTGTTACAGTGGTGGGATTCAAATTTTTTTACTACCGTTTCTGTGGGCGTGGCTTGGTGGGTGTGGCATGGCTTGGTGGGTGTGGCAGGGGAAGAATACTGTAAAATCTCCATTCCCACCCCACTCCAGGGGGAAGGAGATTGCAAAATTCCCATTTCCTCCCGATCAGCTGGTACTTGGGAGGAAGAGAATAGATGGGGGTGTGGCCAGTCAGAGGTGGTATTTACCGGTTCTCTGGACTACTCAAAATTTCCACCAGTAGTTCTCCAAAACTGGTGAGAGCCTGCTGAGTACCACCTCTGGATTGTTACTCATTAAATGCCACTACAGTAGTTCAGAAGGCAACCGACTGGATTTTTGCTCTCCAGTACTGGTCAGCCTTAGTGGAAGGAAGGAGAGCACTAATTGGCTCAGGAGGGTCTATGATAATTCGCCATGGCCAACTCGCCATGATCAACTTGCCACAGCCAGAGCCGAGGTGGCGCAGTAGTTAGGGTGCAGTTCTGCAGGCCACTTCAGCTGACTGTTATCTGCAGTTCAGC